TCAAGGTTGCACAAAAAGCGCTGGAATGCCCCATTTGTTTCCAGATATTCTTCAGTCCGTGTAGTACGGGTTTCACTCACTTTCTTGCATGGATGCTACAGTGGCTTCTGGGATGAGCGCCCTGATAGTAGTCTCTAGTAAGAAATATCCTAGCTGCTAGTAAGAAAGGTGATGCAAGATACACCGATGTGGTTGAACAGACCCCTTTTCAAACTACTGTACGTGCTGAAGCGGGTGATCCAGGATGTCAGGATCTGAAATCAGCTGAGGTTTCACCTTTGTCGTCTTTGCCCTTTATGAGTAGAGCGTTCCTCGGTAAGACAAGAATCTTCCCAAGTTACAGTCTCTAAAGGGTTTATTTGTGATACAGTGTTCAAGGTGGGGCCTCTCTCAGCACAGATAAAGATACGTGTAATTCAGTTGTGCATGTTCTGAGAACAACTTTGGTGCTTCCATGTTACCAGTATGGGCCTCAAAATTGACTTGGGGGAATGTTCTGATGTGTTGAAAGTCAGCATGCAGTTGCGTGACTCAGTTTCCTTCTAGCTTTGTATGTCATTGTTTGTGCTGGTAACTAAATGACTTCGGTATAAATTTTTTAGTCTGGTGTGTCTTTGTTTGGAGAACGAACAGAAATTCCTGCTTCCATCATTTCTGTCTTTGAGTAAGGGGAGATGGTGTAGTTTAGAGCTTTGATAGGATCCTTCGCCTTTCTTCTGTGGAATATAAAGCGAATTTTGTATTATACTGGACTATAATACAAATTCTGGCCATATGAGGATCATCAAAAATCTGCTTAAATTGGTCTCTTTGTATTTTGAAATTTGAACATAAAGTGTATTTTTTCAGGGTAATATTCAAAATTATTAATACTTCATTGTGATAGAGTTTTATATGAAAGAATTTTTAAATCTGCACGAATTATTTATTGGACTAAGGTTACACTGTGCTTACATATGTTTTGGAGCTTTCAGATGAGAAGCCAAAAAATCAAATGCCTGTAGCAGGAGGTTATTCTGTTGTGCCCACACAACTACGAATAAAAATGATAGTGGAGAATCGTGGCATTACACAGAATCACAGAATAGTAGGGGTGGGAAGGGACCACTGTGGGTCACCCAGTCCAACCCTCCTGCTGAAGCA